TGTCTACGGGACCTTGGTGTACACATTTCTCGGTGTTGCTCCGTGAAACGGTTCAGACATGTATAGACCATACCACCCCGACGTCGCCCCCCACCCTCAAAAAGCCCTGCGATTGAAAAACAGGCCGCCACTGGTAACGTGTATGCTCCAATTTCCGAACTCTGGCGTGTTGCACACGATCGTACGGAACCCTGCCTAGACGAGCAGACCGCTTGCATAAGCATATGTTTGGGGGGGGGGCTGAGAACAGTTACGTGTGTGCTCTCTGCCCTTCTTCGACTGCTGTGCGAGAAGGGGGTGTCGGACTCTCCCCTTGCCAGGCGGGCGCAGCCTGCGCCCGCACCGCAGGATCGCGAGCGGCCGAGGCACGGGCGGGACCGAGGCAAGAGCGCGTGTAGAAGAAGAAGAAGAAGAAGAAGAAGAAGAAGAAGAAGAAGATAATAATAATCAACCACGCAAACATACATGTTTTGGCGCTCCGCGCGGATTTCTTGGATCCGCGCGGGACCCCCCTCCCTGGCGCGCGGCGCCGGAGGCGCCGCCGGGGGGGCCCCAGGCGTGGACCCAAGAAATCCGCGCGGAGCGCCAAAAGTTTTTGTTCATGTGGTTTGTTATTATTATTGTTATTATTATTATTAGTATTCGTATTAGTAGTAGTATTAGTAGTAGTATTAGTATTATTATTACTATTATGATTAGTATTCTCATTATTAGTATTATTATTAGTATCAGTATTATTATTATTACTATTATTCTTATTCTTATTCTAAAGACGGGCATCCATCCACAACCAGCGCGTAGGGGAACGACCTCTGGGGACCTCAGCAGGTGGACACGGACACACGTGGCCACCCCCATGGCCCGAACACGTCCACAGGCACCGTCCGCCGAGGCCTCCGAGGATCGATCCACCACGGGGGGGGCTGCGGAGGAGCCCCGCCGGCAGCAGAGGAACAAACGAGCTGCATCAACAGACACTGTCGGAGGTCCGTGCGGAGCCACGAAAACGCATGCTGATACATAGAAGAAGAAGAAGAAGAAGAAGAAAAAGAAGAAGAAGAAGAATAATAATAATAATAAGAATAATAATAATAATAATAATAATAATAATAGTAATACTAATAATAATACTAATAATAATAATAATAATAATAATAATAATAACACGAAAAATAAGAAGCGGAAATACAACAACAACAAGAAAAAACAGCACATACACATAAATGGTTGGCGCTGCCCGCGGATTTCTTGGATCCGCGCCCGACCCCCCTCCCTGGCGCGCGGAGCGCGCCAGGGGCGGCGCCAGAGGCGCCGCCGGGGGGGGGTCCCAGCGCGGATCCGAGAAATCTGCGAGGAGCGGCAAAAGCTCATGTTCATGGCGTTTTCTTCTTCGAGATAATGCGTATTGTGACAGATGCCGTTCTTACTCTAGGTCGGGCCTGTCCCCCTACAGGGGGATTGTGGGCGAAAAAAAATTGAAACCCACAAAAATCCAACAATACTCCCAAAATGCCCAAACGTAGTCCAAGAATCCTCCCCATACGAATTTTTTACTGTGTTGGAATATCCCTTCTGTAAAGGGACAGGCCCGACTTAATCCTACTCGAGCCTTGGAAGAGCTGAGGCCAGAGGTCCGTGCGGAGCTACGACAGCGCATGTTGTGGACGGCGGCGGCGTGCGCCGCGCGTTCTGGAGGCCTCGCTCGGACGTCGGGGCCTGTAACCCCCTCCTCCTCCTGCTCCTCCTCCTCCTCCTCCTCCTCGTCCCCCTTCTTCTCCCCCTCCTCCACCCCCCCTCCTCCTCCTCCTCCTCCTCCTCCTCCTCCTCCTCCTCCTCCTCCTCCTCCTCCACCTCCTCCTCCTCCTCCCCATGCCGATGGCTTCCGCAGCCCCTGGGGACGGTGGTTGTGCAGGACGCGTGGGGCGCCGGTAAGGGCGCGCGCAAGGCGCACACCCGACGAGCACCTGCACAATGCCCCCTGGGGTTAGGCAGCTGGGGCGACATCGGCACAAGAGGTACTTTCCGTACTTCAATGACGACAGACTCTGGAAGCAAGGCTGGAGGTCCTGCGCACCTCGAGGTCTCTGCCTCAGCGGCTTCACTCCGGGTCACTACCTCAAGAGCTACACTTAGAGGTCGTTCAGCTCGAATTCGCCACCACATTACATTCCCGTCGAGGTCTTCACCTCGTGGTCTTCACTTCGAGGTTTTCACATCGGGATCTTCACGTATACCTGGAGATGTTTTCCTTGCGGCAGACTTTTTCCAACTGGGACAATATGGTGAAGCGCGGTCCCATTTCTCCCTTAGGACATCCAAGGCCCTCCCCGCGTGCCTGGGCGACAGCGGAGTGGGATCTGACGGCCCCACCAGCCGGCCAAACACGGCCCTCCCCAGGGAGGTTGTGTTGCGACCGATGGCCATTACTAGAGCGGCAATGCTTGGGCATGCAGGTGGCCACATCCAGCTGGCTCCAGCTGGCACCCCACCTTTTTTCCGTTGGGGGGCCCGTTTCGGCGGCCGTTTGACGGCCCCAGTGCCGTTGCGACCACGGCAGCCCTCGACGTGTTCGGATTCCTCGGTGGAACTTTCATTCGGTCCGACGTTCCGGTGGGTGCCTGGCCCCCGCCCGGGGGCTATTGCGCACGCGTGCGACCGTCGAGTGGTATCTTCTCTCGAATCAACTACCTCGATGGGCACCCAGAGGTCGCGCAACATGGAGCTCGCAATGGTGGTCGGAACATGGACGCACCCACCTCGCGATCCCACTTAGAAGGGTAGTTTCGAGTTCGAGGTGTCCGCCTCGAGGTCTTCATTCAAGGGTTCTCCCTCTAGGTGCTTCACCTCGAAGCCGCCAAGTGCCGAGGACTGTATAGGTCCCAACAAAAACTTGCCGACAGAGCCAGCGGCCCCGCACGCTACTACTTTCCTGGCTTGGTCGCGAAGCAGCTGCCTCAAGAACAGAGCTAGACGGCAAACCCAGCGGTCCTGCAATCGCTACCTTCAGGCATTAGGCTGGCGGGAAGACTGGGGTGCGCGTTCCCACTGATTGCCCATTCATGCCATCATGGCGAGGCAGTTGCCTCAAGGGCAAAGCTTGGCGGCAAAGCCAGCGGCCCTGCAAGCTCTCATACTCTTGGGCTGTCCGCTACCTTCTGTTTGTAGGCTGGCGGGGAAACTGGGATGCGTGCATCCACAGGTTGCCCATTCATGCCATCGTCGCGAGGCAGTTGCCTCAAGGACGAAGCTTGGCGGCAAAGCCAGCGGCCCTGCAAACTCTCACACTATTGGGCTAATCGTTACCTTCTGGCTGTAGTCTTGCGGGGCAATTGGGACGCGTGCGTCCACTGGTTGCCCATTCGTGCCGTCGTCACGAGGCAGTTGCCTCAAGGACAAAGCTTGGCGGCAAAGCCAACGGTCCTGCAGGATCTCGTCCTCTTGGGCTGATGGCTACTTTCTGGGTGTAGACTGGCGGGGGGACTGGGATGCGTGCATCCTCCGGTTGCCCAGTCATACCATCGTCGCGAGGCAGTTGCCTCGAGAACAAAGCTAGGCGACAAGCCCTGCGGCTCTGCAGGCTCTCATCTTCCCGTGCTGATCACTGTTTGTTGGCCGCGTCCGGGCGGAAACGCTCGGGCGCAAGCAACCGCAGGTGCTCAACGACGGAGTTTTGCACGTCCTCAGATGCTGCACGATTGCCGTCGTCGCAGGGCAGTTGCCTCAAGGACACACCAGGCGGCAAGGCTGGTAGTCCTGCACATGTCGCGCATCCCCTCATTTCCCTCTCCCCCCTCCCTCTTCCGCCGCTACCTGGCGGCGCGGTCACTTGCGTGAATCTTTAGAGTCGGCAATTTGCCTCAGTCGCGAGGCAGTTGCCTCAAGGACGCACCCGGCGGCAAGGCCAGTAGTCCTGCACACCCATACGTGTCCCCCTCGTCCCCCCTCCTCCCTCCATCTTCCGCCACCCCCTGGCGGCAAGACCGGGTTTCGTGCATCCTCAGATCCAGCACGCTGGCCCCTGTCGCGAGGCTGTTACCTCAAGGACGCACCTGGCGGCAAGGCCGGTAGTCCTGCACACTCTCACACGCCCCTCTCACCCCCCCCCCTCCTCTTTCCGCCGCTCCCCGGCGGCAAGACCAGGATTCGTGCATCCTCAGATGTTGCACGATTGCCCCCGTCGCGAGGCCGTTGCCTCAAGGACGCAACCGGCGACAGCTGGTAATTCTGCACACGCATACGCCTCACCTCATCCCCCTTCACCCCGCCATCTTCCGCCATGCGCCTCACCTCATCCCTCTTCACCCCTCCACCTTCCGCCAGTAACATACCTGTCTTCCTCACGTCCCTAGGAATTCCGGTGGCCCCGATGCGGGGTGGCCTGAGCAGAGCGGCCGAATTTCGTGACAATTTCGTTGCGTCCGCCTCTGCTCAGGAGAACAAGTATACCCCGAACTTTGTTAGCAAGATCCGTTCGGGGTTGGTTGCGTTACGCCCGCCATTGCTCAGGAGAACAGGCGTCTCGGCGGACCCCGAACTTTGTTTCTGCTGACCTGGATTTGCTCGGCCTGTTGCCCGCTTCCACCCTGGCAAAATCAGGCACACTAGGGGGAGCGCCGAGGTGGTCACCTCGGTAAGGGCAGGCGGCTGCCTGTCAGAGGGGCCCTCGCGGCAGCGGGCGAAGTGTAGCCACTGGGGGGGCTCGTCGCGTTCCCCGGGCAAATCCCCGACATCAGCAGCTGCGCTCCAGAAAAGGAGTAACAGGATTATGCCTACCCTAAGGGCATCTGCACTACACTACAATCCTCCTCCTCCTCCTCCTCCTCCGCCTCCTCCTCCTCCCCATCCTCCTCCTCCTCCTCCTCCGCCTCCTCCTCCTCCTCCTCCTCCTCCTCCTCCTCCTCCTCTCCTCCTCCTCCTCCTCCTCCTCCTCCTCCTCCTCCTCCTCCTCCTCCTCCTCCTCCTCCTCCTCCTCCTCCTCCTCCTCCTCCTCCCCCTCGAGCCTCGGAAGAGCTGAGGCCGAGGCCGGACGGCCCGAAGACCTCGACCACCTGGGCGGGGCCGCCCGGACGGGCGCAGGACAAGAGCGCTCGCGCCCGCTCCGCCCCGCGCCTCGTGCACCGGGGCAGGCAGGTCGGCGGGCCGGCACGCAGACATTCAAGGGGCCCAAGGACACACAAATCAATACACACAGATAAAAGGATTCCCCATAGTTTCCCATGTTGTCTGGGTTTCTGTCTTCCCCCCCCACCTCCCCTATTTTCCCATATTTTCTGGGGGGTCGACGATTAATTGTGTCTGTGCGTGTGTGTGTTCTTTTCCCTCCTGAGACATGTGAACCTCTGCAAAGGATAGAAGAAGAACAAATCAACATGAACATAAACGTTTGGCGCTCCGCGCGGATTTCTTGGATCCGCGCTGGGCCCCCCTCCCTGGCGCGCGGAGCGCGCCAGGGGCGGCGCCGGAGGCGCCGCCGGGTGGGCCCAGACGCTAATCCGGGAAATCAGCGCAGAGCGCCGAAAGTTTATGTTTATGGCGTTTGTCCTTCTTCGAGCAATGGAGGCCTCCCACACGGGGTCCGATTGCTGAAGGCTCGTGTCGTGCCGCCTTCGGCGTTGGTTCTTGCCGCAGCGGGGATCGTTCCGCCTGGAGCGATCGGCGGTTTCCGAAACGCCAAATCGTTCAACTTCGACCGATTCTGAGTTGCCAGCGGCGTTCAACGTTGAGCGCTGGCGGCGGGGTCGCCGCAGGTCGACACGACACGAACCTACCGTAGATGGAGTCGGAGGATCGCGCCGCATTGCCGATGCATCGCCGATGCATCGGCGACACATCGGCGACGTTGGCGTGTCTCCACATCACGCCGCTTCGGCGATGCATCGGCGATGCGGCGCGATCCTCCGACCCCATCTAGTCGGACCCTGTTTGGGAGGCCTGGCATTGTTTGAGCCACGGGATCTTGGTGCTGATGCTGACTTCTGGGGCCCCGATCTCCTGTCCCCCCTCTCTCTCACGATGACGATTCTTTTATGAGGAAGAAACGAAGAGTATGGCGTCGTGTGTGCATCCCCTGTGGTCCAACTGGCCACTTACACAACGAGACCTCGCACGACGTCCGTAACAAGGGATCGGGGCAGCACCGAGGAGGTGACCTAGCATGCGGGGACGTGGATTGTAGAAGACACGAACCGCATCCGACGTCGAGGGTGATACAAGAACGCCCCGAAATTCGATGGCGCAAGAGGCGAGAACAAGGAGGGAAAGGGCGAACAGGAGAGGACCAGGACAAGCGAGGAGGCAAAATCGAACCAGGCATCCGATCGCAACTTATGCGCAAACGCTCGCTTCCACCAAGCTGACCACAACCCCTGACGCCGACAAAAGTATTGAACAACTCCAAGACATCGCATGTCTGGGCCCCCACCCCTTTCCCTCAGTGTCGCAGTGATCGTGACCGTCACCCACTTCCCCCCCCCCTGTTGGCTAGAGGCCGTGCTCTCCTGGTGGAAGGTGGGAGCCTTCCTCTCGCAAACGGCAGCACGGTCAGCTCGACAGCACAGCGACAGTGTAAGAGGCACAGAAGGCGGCAGCGCGAGCACAAGTGGCGAAGATTGTTTTGAACGAAAACGGCTGCCGCAATCCCCCTCGTCCTTCTCCTCCTCCTCATCCTCCTTTTCCTCCTCCTCCTCCTCCTCCTCCTCCTCCTCGACGATGGGTTCGACAACGTGAGCGAATCCAGTTTCCGACACCGTGCTGCTGGCATGACGTGGGCCCACCGGAGCTCTCGACCCCGTCTGCGGGACTGGCTCCTCGTCGCGCGTCGGTCTGCGAACTGCTGTCGGGATCTGACTGCTGCCCGTCAGGAAGCCAATTGCTGTGCATCAGTACTGCTGCCCATGCGTGTGGTACGACAGAACAGGTACGGCCGCTGCCCCTTGCACTCCGACTGATACCAATACGACCGCATACTCAACAACAAATGGCACGGCACCATCAAACGACGCGTGTGACAAACAATTGTTGGCTTCCATCTCTTTTGGCCTCTGAACGTGCTAGGACCACGCTCGACTGAACATGTCTGGAAGACTGCTCCGTCCACCGTGAACGTTTTGATTGATGGCTTCACCGCGCAGAGCCACAGAGCCGCACGAGCGAGACGCAAACGCAATGATGCAGCGTGGATGGCCCGAACACCTCCTGACCCCATCGAGCGCATCGTCTTCCTGACCTGGGCATCTGCGTGAAGAGGAGGATACCAAGTTCACATGGTTCAACAGATGTAGAGGAAGAAAAAAAAACTTAAACTTTCGACGGTCTGCGCGGATTTCTTGGATTTGCGCTGGGCCCCTCCCCCCTGGCGCGCGGAGCGCGCCAGGGGCGGCGCCCGAGGCGCCGCCAGGGGGCCCCAGCGCGTATCCGAGAAATCCGCGCGGAGCGCCGAAAGTTTATGTTTATGTGTTTCCTTTCTTCTTCGAGGATCCTGGCCATGCAGTGCAGGGCCAAATGCACCCAAGCTGGCCCGAAAGGCGTGCGCACCGACCCCAGGCCCCAAAGCGGTCTGGCAGGGACTGGTGCAGATGCAGAGCGGGCGCCTCCCAGACCTTCGACGACCCCCTCCCCAGGAGACCACCCCTCCGTTACGGGTCGCCTCTTGCCGGCGCTGGGGGGCCCCTGGAGGCCGCAACGGCGGACAAGACGCGCGCCGTCTCCACTCTTCTTGATGGGCCTGGTTTCCACCACCACCACCATGAATTAGAGGAGGGAGAGGGTCCTCCTCCCCCTCTTTTTCTTCTTCCTCCTCCACCTCCTCCTCCTCCTCCTCCTCCTCCTCCTCCTCCTCCTCCTCCTCCTCCTCCTCCTCCTCTCCTCCTCCTCCTCCTCCTCTTCCCCCTCCAAGACATGCCCATCACTTCTCACAGGCACAGGAGGCGAGCCCCGTGGCACGGAAAGGAGCACGACGGCGAAGAGACGACGGACCAGGGAGGCATTGCCGACCGAAGGCCGTCGCCGCACATCCGATGCATTTTTGCATTGCATCCTCGGGGGATCCCGTCTGTCCCGTCGCGACCCTATCCGCGTCGAGTCCGTGTCGTATCCGTGTCGGCCTCGTCGGATCCGTGTCGAATCCGTGCCGAATCCGCGTCGAATGCCCGCCAAATCCGCATCGAGGCCGCATCGAGCCCGCGCCAGGCACAAAAAAGAAACACCGATTTTGGAGACGGGCGGGGTCCCCCGAAGATGCAACGTTAGGGGGCCACATGCGAACCCTACAAGTACCCCTACCCCCCACGACTTCTGAGGGGGAGGGTGGGGTTCACTTCGCGCGGGAGCTCTTGAATTAAGTGAACCCCACCCTCCCCCTCAGAAATGGTGGGGGGTAGGGGTAGGGTTCGCATGTGGCCCCCGAAACGTGAGCAGTTCTCTGTGCCGTGCGGGGTCTCTACCCGCAGCCCCGCGGCCCTCTCCCCAAGGGATGGCTGCCCCGCGCCGTGCCACACGACGGCCCCCGAGGCGGGCGAGGGGCCCCGGGAACCGAAAGGCGCGGAAGAACTTGGGCGCCCGAGTTGTCCGGGGCAAGTCGGGTCCGGGGTAACTCTTTGCGCAGACGAAGCGAGGCTGAGACCCCCTCGTGGGGCGAGGGGACCCCCTCGTGGGGAGAGGGACCACCCACGCACCTCACGAGGCGCGGAGCGCCCTGATGTTCACGAGCCGCCTACAGCCGGAGCAAGAGAAGACCTCAGCCGACAGCCAGGGGAAGACGGCCATTGGGAGCGTGAAGTTGGACGCCCGAGTTCTCCGGGGTAAGTCGGGTCCGGGGTAACTCGGGCTCGGACTCCCGAAAAAGGAGCCCGAGTTAGCCCTGACCCGAGTTACCCCGGATGATTCGGGGCTCTGGGCGCCCGAGTCTCCGGGGTAACTCGGGTTTGGATTCCCGAAAAAGGAGAATTAGCCCTGAGTTACCCCTGATGATTCGGGGCTCTGGACGCCCGAGTTCTCCGGGGTAACTCGGGTCCGGGGTAACTCGGGCTTGGACTCCCGAAAAGGACCCGAGAGCCCTGACCCGAGTTACCCCTGATGATTCGGGGCTCTGGACGCCCGAGTTCTCCGGGGTAAGTCGGGTCCGGGGTAACTCGGGTTCGGACTCCCGAAAAAGGAGCCCGAGTTAGCCCTGACCCGAGTTACCCCGGATGATTCGGGGCTCTGGACGCCCGAACTATCCGGGGTAAGTCGGGTCCGGGGTAAGTCGGGTTTGGGTTCCCGAAAAAGGAGCCCGAGTTAGCCCTGACCCGAGTTACCCCTGATGATTCGGGGGCTCTGGGGCGCCCGAGTTCTCCCGGGGTAAGTCGGGTCCGGGGTAACTCGGGCTCGGACTCCCGAAAAAGGAGCCCGAGTTAGCCCTGACCCGAGTTACCCCGGATGATTCGGGGCTCTGGGCGCCCGAGTTCTCCGGGGTAAGTCGGGTCCGGGGTAACTCGGGCTCGGACTCCCGAAAAAGGAGCCCGAGTTAGCCCTGACCCGAGTTACCCCGGATGATTCGGGGCTCTGGGCGCCCGAGTTCTCCGGGGTAAGTTTCCGGGTCCGGGGTAACTCGGGCTCGGACTCTCCTAAAGGAGCCCGAGTTACCCTGACCCGGTTACCCCTGATGAGTTCGGGGCTCTGGGCGCCCGAGTTATCCGGGGTAACTCGGGTCCGGGGTAACGTAACTCGGGCCTGGATCCCCGAAAAAGGAACCCGAGTCAGCACTGACCCGAGTTCCCCCTGATGATGTGGGGCTCTGGGCGCCCGAGTCATCCGGGGTAACTCGGGTCCGGGGCAACGTAACTCGGGTTTGGATCCCCGAAAAAGGAACCCGAGTTTGCCCTGACCCGAGTTACCCCTGATGATGTGGGGCTCTGGGCGCCCGAGTTATCCGGGGTAACTCGGGTCCGGGGTAACGTAACTCGGGCCTGGATCCCCGAAAAAGGACCCGAGTCAGCCCTGACCCGAGTTCCCCCTGATGATGTGGGGCTCTGGGCGCCCATATGGGCCAAGGTACAAAAAAAGAACGGACAGATAAAGCCCGAATAAAAAAAAAAAACAAAACAAGAAGGTTTCTCCGGGTACATTCGGGCCCGGGGTAACTCGGGCTCGGATTCCCGAAAAAGGAGCCCGAGATCGCCCTGACCCGAGTTGCCCCTGATGATTCGGGGCTCTGGGCGCCCGAGTTATCCGGGGCAACTCGGGCCCGGGGTAACTCGGGTTCGGATTCCCGAAAAAGGAGCCCGAGTTCGCCCTGGCCCGACTGAGTTACCCCTGATGATTCGGGGCTCTGGGCGCCCGAATTATCCGGGGTAACTCGGGCCCGGGGCAACCCGGGCTCGGATTCCCGAAAAAGAAGCCCGAGTTCGCCTTGACCCGAGTTGCCCCTGATGATTCGGGGCTCTGGGCGCCCGAGATATCCGGAGAAACTCGGGCCCGGGGTAACTCGGGCTCGGATTCCCGAAAAAGGAACCCGAGTTATCCCTGATCCCGAGTTACCCCCGGATGATTCGGGGTCTGGCGCCCGGAAACAAAAAAGTAAAATGAACAAAAAGCGACAGAAGAAAAAAAAACAACCAGGAAGTTCTCGGGTAAGCTGGTCCGTTGGTAAACTCGGGCTCGGACTCCCCAAAAAGGAGCCCGAGTTGCCCTGACCCGAGTTACCCCCCGGAATGAATTCGCGGCTCTGGGCGCCCGGAGTTTCTCCGGGGTATCGGGTCCGGGTAACTCGGCTCGGACTCCCGAAAAAGGCGCCCGAGTAGCCTGACCCGAGTTACCCCGGTGATTCGGTGCTCTGGGCGCCCGATTCTCCGTGGTAAGTCGGGTCCGGGTAACTGGGCTGGCGCGGCGAAAAAGAGCCCCCGGAGTGAGCCCTGACCCCGATTACCCTGATGATTCGGGCTCTGGGCGCCCGAGTTCTTCCGGGGTAAGTCGGGTCCGGGGTAACTCGGGTTGGACTCCCGAAAAACAAACCCGAGTTACCCCTGAATCGAGTTACCCCGGATGATTCGGGGCTCTGGACGCCCGAGTTCTCCGGGGTAACTCGGGTCCGGGGTAACTCGGGTTTGGATTCCCGAAAAACGAACCCGAGTTACCCCTGACCCGAGTTTTACCCCGGATGATTCGGGGCTCTGGACGCCCGAGTTCTCCGGGGTAACTCGGGTCCGGGGTAACTCGGGCTTGGACTCCCGAAAAACAAACCCGAGTTACCCCTGACCCGAATTTTACCCCGGATGATTCGGGGCTCTGGACGCCCGAGTTATCCGGGGTAACTCGGGTCCGGGGTAACTCGGGTTTGGACTCCCGAAAAACAAACCCGAGTTACCCCTGACCCGAGTTTTACCCCGGATGATTCGGGGCTCTGGACGCCCGAGTTCTCCGGGGTAACTCGGTCCGGGTACTCGGCTCGGACTCCCGAAAAAAAAGAGCCCGAGTTAGCCCTGACCCGAGTTTACCCCCGGATGATTCCGGGGCTTCTGGGCGGCCCGAGTTCTCCGGTTAAGTCGGGTCACGGGGTAACTCGGGCTCGACTGGTCTCCGAAAAAGGGCCCGAGTTAGCCCGCTGCCCCCCCGAGTTACCCCGGATGGTTCGGGGCTCTGGACGCCCGAACTATCCGGGGTAGCTCGGGTCCGGGGTAGGTCGGGTTCGGGATCCCGACAAAACCAACCCGAGTTGGCCCTGACCCGAGTTACCCCGGAGGGTTCGGGGGCTCTGGGCGCCCCGACGTTCCTCCGGGGTAAGTCGTTCCCGGGTGAACTCGGGCCTCGGACTCCCGAAAAAAGGAGCCGCGAGTTAGCCCTGACCCGAGTTACCCCGGAATGATTCGGGGCTCTGGGCGCCCGGTTTCTCCGGGGTAAGTCGGTCCGGGTAACTCGGGCTCGGACTCCCGAAAAAGGAGCCCGAGTTAGCCCTGACCCGAGTTACCCCGGATGATTCGGGGCTCTGGACGCCCGAATTCTCCGGGGTAAGTCGGGTCCGGGGTAACTCGGGCTCGGACTCCCGAAAAAGGAGCCCGAGTTAGCCCTGACCCGAGTTACCCCTGATGATTCGGGGCTCTGGACGCCCGAATTATCCGGGGTAGGTCGGGCCCGGGGTAAGTCGGGTTCGGAATCCCGAAAAAGGAGCCCGAGTTAGCCCTGACCCGAGTTACCCCTGATGACTCAGGGCTCTGGGCGCCCGAGTTATCCGGGGTAGGTCGGGCCCGGGGTAAGTCGGGTTTGGAATCCCGAAAAACGAACCCGAGTTAGCCCTGACCCGAGTTACCCCTGATGATTCGGGGCTCTGAAGAACGCCGTCTTGATTTTGGTCAAGGCGTTGAACGCCTGGAAAAGCAACACGCGCGCCACACATCTGACCCAGCAGATGGGCCGCGCGCGCCGTCGGCCTTTGATTCTCCGCTTTCGCGATCGTTCCGTCTGATCCTCCTCCTTCCTCCTACCCTTCTCCTCATAGATATATCCTCCCTGTCGCGACCCGAGGCCGG